GTGGGGCTGGGCAGTGGGGCTGTGTGGCTTCAAATGGGGCTGCGTGTGCAGCGGGACGCACTGAGGGTGCAGGGGATGGGCTGTGGGATGCAGTGTGTTGTATATGGGGAGCAGGGAATGCCCCGAGGAGCAGTGTGCTTCTCGCCTCCGAGGGATTTAAATTACAAATTTTGACAGAGAAGATTGTCAGCAGTATTCAAAACAGAGCAGGAATTCTTTTGAAATGCCGTCGAGCTGCGCTGCAGCAGTTGGGAAGTTTGGCACGTGAGAGTTTGGCCCAGGAGCTGCTGCCAGGGCTTTTTGTCCTTTAAAACTCAGTTCATCTGTATGCAGCGTCCCGCACTGCCCAGCACAGCGCTGGGCTCAGCATGTGAGGCTGCTGGCCTGTGGGGCCGGGGATCCTCCTCCTGTAACAGCCACAGATAGCTTTATGCTTGTGCATCGAAGAAAAGAAGGATTTGTTGGTGCTTGTGGCCACAGGTAGAAAAAACAACCAATAAACCAAATAGGGATTTGGAATCGACTTGTGATCGGCTGGATCATTTATCCGTAATCGTTAATTGTACGTCCTGTTGATGGGCTGACGTGTGCTCGTTGGCATTAGGCTCAGTTCCATCTGCAGCATCACATGAACATGAGCCAGCAGTGTGCCAGGGTGGCCGAGGAGCCAGCAGCATCCTGACTGGTGTCAGAAGAAGTGCAGACAGCAGGAGGTGATCATTGCTGTGCACCTGCAGTGCTGTGTTCAGTGCTGGGCCCCTTGCTGCCAGAAACACACTGGGGCCCCAAATGTGTCCAGAGGTGGGCAGGGGCTGCGATGGGTCGGAGCACAGCGCTGTGGGGAGCGGCTGAAGGATCTGGGCTGAGTCAGTGTGGAGGAGATGGGCTTCAGGGGAGACCTCATCTATCCTACAGCTCCTGGAAGGAGGTCGTGGTGAGTTGGGGCCGGCCTCTGCTCCCAGGTGACAGCGATGGGATGAGAGGTGATGGCCCGTGGTGTGCCAGGGGAGGCTCGGGTTGGCTGTCAGGGAGCAGTGCTCCTCAGAAGGAATGGTCAGCACAGCATAGGCTGACCAGGGGTGGTGTGGTGGGTTGGGAGTGGGCTTGGGGGTCCGTGACCTCTGTGATTCTATGGAAGGCTGGCATTGGCTCCGCTGTGCAAACTTCATGTGTCTGCTCAGGGGCTGTGGGTTCACGCAGTGCTGTGGGACTGCAGTGGGGCGAGGGGCTGGGACCGCCCTTCAGGCACCTCCAGCCCCGCAGAGTGCACCTTCCTTATCTGCAAGCTGATCTTTCCATTAAGGATCAAGCTCAGATGCAATTGTAGCTTCACTTTAGAGAGCACTAAAAGTTTAATGTAGAAACATTTTCCTTCGCCAGAACTTTTTGGCAGCGTCGTTCCCTGATGCTAAAATTCCTCCAGAAGCTCCGGAGCTGCAGAGACGCACTGCCCTCAAAGGGTTAATGACATCATCCCGACTGCTTTTCCTTTTTAAAGCAAGGAGACAAATCTGCAGGCGAAAGTCATTAATCGGAGGCAGAAATGGAAGCAAAGTTTCCCTCCCCTCTGCAGTTTGGTGGCGGTAGGCTGTGCAGTAATTGAAAAGTAAAGCAATGGAATTATCGGCTCCTGTCCAAACGGAGCACGACTTTTCTTTTTTTTTTTTTTTTTACAACCTCCATTGCATCAGAACTCGGCAGTATTCCTGATGTCCTCATGTGTGTTACTGCTGACTCACAGACTAACTTGCACAAGAAAAAAAAAAAAAACCCAGCAGGCAGCAGCTCCACCATACTAGGTAATGAGCTCTCGCAAGGAGCGGCGCTGCTGTGCTGTAAGCTTTTCTAATTGACCTTTTAAGATATTTACCTTATTTTAAGGCTCTCCATTCCGGCGTGGCGTGGCGGCAGGGCTGAGCCATGCATGTTAGGTGCTGCCGCTCGGCTGTTGTGTGCGAGGAGAATGCAATTCAGCATGACACTTGGTTTTCTGCTGCGTTACTGCGGGCTGCCTTGGGATGGATGCAGGAGGCGCGTGCTGCAGCAGAGGCGGAGGGGCTCCGGGTGCTTTCTGCTGCTCCTCGGGGTCACCCAGCTGCTTTGTTAGGTTGGAACAGCCCCGAATTCTGCAGGATAGTTTGATTTCCCATCCCTGCCTCTCCTTTACCCCTTTCCCTGTAGCAAGCTGCAAAAAGAAAAAAGAAAAAAAATAATAATTCCTTGTTGCTTTTTCTATTCTTGCATGTCCTTGCTTGAGAGCACTTTAAAACAGCGATGGGAAAAAAAAGAAAAACAAACAACGAAGGAGTGGACGGTGCCGGCGGTGGCACAGCGAGGTGGGAGCTGCCCGGAGGGGTGACCCGGCGCTGCCACTCACCTTGCAGCAGCGCGGAGCTGCGGGCATTGCGAGCTGTGTGCCGCCGCTGCCACTAGCACTGCTCTGCTTCCCGTGCTGCCTTCCAGCCTGCTCTGTGCACGGTGCTCCTCGCCCAGCTGTGCGTTTTGCCTCGCTAAGCCAGCAGCCTCTCGCTGCTGCGGGGCTCGGGGCTCGGCGCTGCTCCCCGCTCGCTGCTCTCACTGCAGGGCTGTGATTGCGGTGCTGCAGCACAGCTGCTCCCCACCCGGCCCTCGGCTGGCAGCCCATGCCCGGCGCAGGCACTTTGTTTGACCCGTTCCCTTCCCATCCTGTCGTTACAAGGGGGGATGCGGCCCCAGCCCTGCAGCTGCAGCCAGGCTGGCGCTGAGCATCCCCATGGGGAATCCTGGTGCTACAGCACCTCCCAGCTCCAGCCCCGCAGCCTGAAGCCCAAGGATGGCATATTCTTTACATTACTTTTTTTTTAATTTTATTTTATTTTCCCTCCCTCTTAACCTCTGCAGAAGAAAAGAGGGGTTCCTGTTACTGCCGGGCTCCCAGGGACACAGCTTCACCACTCTGTTGTGCCACGAGTGCTCTGTGGCCTATGGGGAGATAGGGCAGGGACCCTTTGTAGGGCTCTTCTGCCTTTTTTAGGCTCTTTGAGCTTTTTCTGTTGGTGGTGGTGATGAAATCTCCAGATCTCATTGTAGGCTGGCTAAGGAAAAGATGATTTAAATGAATTATCTAATTATTTCTGATTACTCCCATGGGAGCTCTGATGCCAGCATCGTATTCCGGATCGATGCCTTTCTCTTTGCCATTGGTTCACCCCGACCTCTCAGGCCTCAGAGAAGAGAAATTCTTCAGGGCCGAGCGATCCTGCACAGAACCTGAGAGCTCACAGCACTGCACTGAAATGTTGATGAGCTCCTTGTGACAAAGGCTGTGACTTCTTGGGACCATGCAGAGATGCACCGTTTCTCCTGGCCTGTATCAGAGCTCAGATAAGAGGCTTCCATTGGAAAACAAAGCGATGTCTTACTTTGGTTGTCGCGTACCTCGCATGATTCTTAAACACTTATGGGGTGTTCGGATGGAATCGGGTTTTGCCCAAGGTTTCGTGTTGGCAAGGAGCCACTCGCTTGTTGTTTGGTGGGAGTGGTGCTCCCAGTCAGTTTGGTGCTGTTTTGCCCCCCAAAAAAGGAGGAAAAAAAAGAAAAGAGGTGTTTTTGAAGTTAGACATTATCACTCGTGTTGCATCCGTGGTCTGGTCATGGTGCTGACTTGTGGCTGTTGGTTGTAGGGATGGGAGGTGCGACGGGGAACAGGCTCTGCTTGTCTTTAGGCCATATTTATTTGGCTACCAATAGTCCTGCCATAGGCAGGTGATGGAAAAGAGAAGGGAACAAAAAAACAGCGCTGGGCTCCTCTCGGAGTCATTTGGGCTTTCAAAAGCTCACTGGGATTTGCCTGCAATCCTGGGTAGCGTATCCAGAAACCGGCTCGGTTTTGGTGACTTTTTGAGACGTGGTTGTTTGCAGAGCAAATTCTAAGCAATGTGAACAATTCCTGTCTATTCGACCAGTTGTGACCCCGCTGTGTGGCACATGGGAACCCCATCGGTGCCTCCTGGTGCTGAGGGCGCACTGGTACCCACAGCTCTGTGCTCTGAGTGCGGTGAGGACAGCTGGGTGTGCAGCAGCAGCTCGCTGCCATTCTACAGAGCAGAACTTAACGCCCCACGCAGTCACTGGGGCAGAACTTAATGCACCAAATAGGCACCAGGGCAGGAGGTGTGGAGTCATGTGTGCAAAAATGGAGAGGGGTTGAGCGCGAGCTCTGCAGCCCGTGTCCATTCTCCCCATCCCATCCTTGTCTAAGAGTGCCATGGCCTTTAATCTCCTGATTTTTCCCTGCCTGCGACCATCTGAGCAGGGCCATGGAAACAAATCCTAGGGCAGTAATCGGAATAAAAACGCTCTGGGTAGAGAGATAAGTAAGCAAAGTAAGGCCCCACCCTCTTTCCCAGAAAATAGCACCAAACATGCTCAATAAACGCGAAGGTAATTTAAAATCTGAATCCAGGAGACAATGTGACTAGGATTTCATTACTTAAGCAAATGGATTTGCTTTTAGTGGATTCAGCCACAGACTGAAAGAAGCTTTCCCCAAGGGGTAAACATTTTTCCTGCATTTGAAAGGCTTTCTTGTATGTTATGGGAGGGGGGGGGGTGAGAGGGAGGTGGATCATGCCTGTGGCTGCCCACAGAGCACCTTTATTTCACACTGACCCGGGCTGTCCCTTTGGGGTGGTGGCACTGGGGTGGTGTGGGGTGCAGAGCTGCTGGGACCCGGTGTGGGATAAATGGGCTCGGGGTGCTGCTGTGTGGGGTATTGGGCTGCAGGATGCTGGGGCTCGGTGTAGGGATGCTGGGGTGTGGGGTGCTGGGGCTCGGAGTGGAGATACTGGGGTGTGGGATGCTGGGGGCTCAGTGTGGGGATGCTGGGGTGCAGGTTGCTGTGGCTCAGTGCGGGGCTCTGTTTGGGGATGCTGGCTGCAAGGTGCTGGGCTCAGTGTGGAGATGCTGGGGTACAGGAGATAGGGATGCAGGTGCTGGGTGCAGTGTGGGGATGCTGAGATCAGTGTGGGGCTCAGTGTGGGAATGCTGGCTGTGGGATGCTGGGCTCACCGCCCCTTCCCCAGCTCGAGGAGTCACCAGCAGCAGTGCCAGCGCTGCAGACTGTTTGGAATAGTTTAAATGCTTTGACACTCTGGATGTACTAGATGGCAGGGGAGGCAGTTTACAGCGTAATTCATATGCAAAACTGCACTATAAATTTAAAACCTGTCTCAGTTGCCGTGGCACCACTAAGCATTTCATCAGCATACAGTACAGTATTTCTGCCATCTTTGTTTGCATTGCAGTGACTCATCAAAAGTCTGTCTTGTACCAACACTGAGAGCATTCCTCTGGCACTGATATTTCTCTGTTTTTAAAGCTTCGGTTTGAAACTGGCATTTACTTCAGGTCCCTAATCAAAGGGCTCTATTCATCGCAGAGAGCAGCCTGAATGTTAATCTGCATCCGGCCTATTCATTTAGATGCTATGCACTGCCGTGGAGATTTGACTTGGTAAGAGCTTGAGCTCCAGCAGATAGAAGCAAAGGGCTCCGCGCTGCTTTCCTCCCCCGAGCGCTCGGCGTCCCCGCACAGTGTGGGGTGACAGGAGGGCAGGGGACCCCCGGACACGGCTGGAAGGTACGTGCCCTGCTGGCGGGGGGGCCGCCAACTTCCTCGCTCGGAAGGCTTTTATTGAACCGTGCAGATAGAATGAAATTGGCTCCGAGCGTTCCCTTTTCTTCCTGTTACCCCGTGGCCTTGCGGATAGGACTTTTGTTGGGTTGGTTTTTTTCCCCCCCCCCAGCACTGGGAACAGAGCAGCTCTTTGTGGGTTATTTTCTTTTCGGAGCAGATTTTTTTTTTTTTTTTTTTTTCCCAGTCTTTCTCAGATTAACTTCAGTTTGGCTTTTTTGTTGTTTTGTTTTTTAAAGTGATGTTCTCCGGAGCTTTCAGTCCTCCTTAACCACAGTCTGTACTCAGCAGCATCGGTGGCAATTGAGATTTTCAGTTGTTTTCGATCTGCCGGACTGCTGCATGGAGCCCTGGGGGTGTGGGGGGGTCCTGGGCTCTGGCTGTGAGCTGCTGAATGCGCAGTGCTTTGCTTTGCCTTAGTTGTGGTGCACAGGAGGCACTGATGCTGACCATCTCAGCTTTGCGCACCGGCTCCACGCTGCCATCACGTTTACTGAGGATGTGGGCAGCCCCGAGGTACTGCAGGTGGGGGCTGCCCTGGGCCTGGCCGGGCCCCCCACCCTGGGCTGTGCTGTGGGGTCTGCGCCCCGGCGGCACCCAGCGTGCCGCAGTGTGTGAGATAAGCGGTGTTTTGTTCGGGGCTCGTTCTGTTGAGAAAGGGTTTAACTGTTGAAATGCTTCCTCTTTCTGGCGCAGACGGGAAGGTTGCTTTAGAAAGTGCTTTGAGATGGGAGCGCTGACGGAATGCCGCCTTTATCTCGGGCAAAATGGCACTTTGCTTTCTAAATGTCTTTTCTGTAGTTTCAGCGTAGCCGGCGGTGGTGGTGGTGCTCCTTATATAACGCTGCCCAAGGTCTGTCTGCTCTCTGTGCGCTTTGCTGTGCTCTCTTCTCCCATTATGGGTTCACATTTTGCTGTATAAAGTAAACCCCCGGGGGAATAAATCAGTGGGGTTTATTTAAACAGACCGCAACTTGAAGGAAATGTTTGAGTTTTGGAACATCCCTCGCTGTCCTCCATGAGCGTTGCTTAAGAGCGTCGATAAGCGATTTTATAAGGAACTGCTTTGCTGCGTTGGCTCCAACCACGGCTTGGAGCCTTCGGCGTTACCGTGTGCCTCCGAGCTGTCTGAAAACACTGTTTCTCTCTCCCTGCCTTCTCCCTTTTTCAGATGTGCCCTACTTTGGATACCCCTGCATTGAATGCCTGAGGAGCTCCGGCGGATCCTGAGCCATGTCGCAGATGTTGCACATAGAGATTCCCAACTTTGGGAACACCGTGCTGGGCTGCCTGAACGAGCAGCGCCTGCTGGGGCTGTACTGCGATGTCTCCATCGTGGTGAAGGGCCAGGCCTTCAAGGCACACCGTGCCGTGCTGGCTGCCAGCAGCCTCTACTTCCGAGACTTGTTCAGCGGGAACAGCAAAAATGCCTTTGAGCTGCCGGGGACGGTGCCCCCTGCTTGCTTCCAGCAGATCCTCTCCTTTTGCTACACCGGCAAGCTCACCATGGCGGCCAGCGAGCAGCTGGTGGTGATGTACACGGCGGGCTTCCTGCAGATCCAGCACATCGTGGAGAAGGGGACAGACTTGATGTTCAAGGTGAGCTCGCCCCACTGTGACTCTCAGACCGCCATGATCGAAGACCCCTCCTCAGAGCCGCAGAGCCCCTGCAACCAGCTGCAATCGGCCTCTGCGCCCTACGTCATGTCCCCCTCCATGCCCATCCCGCTCCTCACCCGGGTCAAGCACGAGAGCCTGGAGCTGCCGCCGGCCGCCGTGCCGGGCCTGCCTGCCAAGCGGCCCCTAGAGCCGGGTGCACGTGATGGCCCTGCAGGAGCAGGCCCCGCTGCCGGCCCGCTGAAGCTGTCGCGTGTCTCCTACTATGGGGTGCCCAACCTGGCCTCCCTCCTGCCCACCGTGCAGCAGGTGCAGTACTCGCAGGGGGAGCGCACCAGCCCCGGCGCCAGCAGCATCCCCACCACCGACAGCCCCACGTCCTACCACAACGAGGAGGATGAGGAGGACGACGAGGCGTACGACACCATGGTGGAGGAGCAGTACGGGCAGATGTACATCAAGTCCTCGGGAGGCTATTCTGGTAAGGAGCGCGCTCTGTCCTTTGGTTTTCCGCTCTCCATGAGGTTTTGCTCGGTCCTTCTGCACTGGGTTGGAGCTGGTTGGTGAGCTGGTGGCTCTGTGGCTTTGCTGGTTTGTAGACAGTCTGGCGCTGGGACATCCCGAGGGCAGTGGCCACCTCCACGTGTGTCACGTGTCCTCCGGTGCCGTGGGTCACCTTCTGGGCTGTGTGAGGCGCCTTCCCCTCATCCCAGCCTTTTGAAATATGCGGTGCAGCATGCTTGTGTCCCTTCCTCCAAACGTCATCACGTAAATCATACCCATAGATGTTCGATGGGAACAGCTGTGGGAAGGAGCGCAGGAGGACTGCTGTCCACCTTCCTGCACTAACAGCCACTCCGCTGCCAGGCCTGCCTGGTGCACTGGAGTCAAGCAGGGAAAAGCACTTCGAGTCCCGCTGATACCATTTTATTGCTGTATGGAAGCAAGCGCATCCATGACTCCTCTCAGTGGAGATGCTGTTCCACCATCAGAAATATTTGCCTAGTGAAGGACCCTCTAAACCTCTCTGCTGTGTCCCCACCGCAGTGCCAGGGGTCGGGGACAGGCTCTGTGCATGCACAGGGCTGTGCCAGCAGCCTGCCCTCAAGCTGAATTCAGGCTGCTTTCTTCCACGACGGGTTTGTTTTTATTTTGTTTTGTGTTTTCTCACTGTAGAGCACGCAGCGAGTAATATGGGCTTGTCCTCAGCGCTGAGCGCTCGGAGCATTATTCTTCAGAGAAATGGGATTATAGCCTTGTGTGCTGTGTTTGCCTTTCGCCGTCATGGGGCCAGTGCATAGAGAGCAGCAGAACAAAACCCATCCTGCAGGCTGCCGGGAGCCCGGGGCAGGGTGAATGCTGTACCAAGCAGCTCTGAGCGATGCTCCGAGGCCTGGGAGCATCCTTGGGCATCCCTGAGCCCTTTGGTGTGCGTGCAGCGGGGCGTCATGGTGGAGGGAGGCTGTGCTGCTTTCTGGGGGGGCTGTTAGGATGGAGCTGTGCCCCATGCAGGGCTGCGCTGCCCTCAATTTCTGCTATAATTTCTCTTCCGCAGCCGCACGTTTCGAGGGAGTTTCCTGTTTTAATGAAGCCAGCTCTGGTGTCGGGCTTCCTGGAAAACGGGGCACACAAAAAAAGAGATTAAAAAAAAAAAATAAAACCTAAGCTATTCCATTATAGTCGGGACTTGTAGAGCTAACTGTGTTTTAATTACTCAAGATAAAGCGTACCCTCAAAAGGTGCAGAATAATAAAACTGTAAGATGGAAGAGAGCGAGCCGGCTAATCCCACTGCTGGCATGGAGCTCCTGCAGCCTCACAAAGGTTGGGGGGAGGGGGCAGCCGCTTCAAACAGATTGCCAGGGTTTCCAGGAGCCCCGTTTGGAAAAACAAAAACAAAGCGAAGGAGAGCGCGGCACATCGAGCCCCGGATTTCAGGCATTTCTTCTTTTTCCTCCCCCTATTTCTATGCTTTTCACCCCCCCAGGCAGTGCTGGGTTGGCTCTGACAGCAGCGTTGCCCAGAGCTGAGCCCCGAATTCGTGCTTGTTTGCCCACCCCCAGCCCTGTTCTACGCTCAGGAGCGATCTCCGCAGCCGGGCTGTGAGATGTGCACTGTGACCTTGGCAAAGGGCTTTGCTGGGAGGAGAGGAGCGGGACGCAGCCTTGCTTAGTGCTGAGAACCTGCAGTGTGAACCTGAGGAAAATCCCTGGGATGAGGGGAAGGAGCTGCAGAGGAGCACGAGGACAGGTGCACACCTGGAGCACCGCGGTGGCAGCGCCGCAGCAAAGTGCCCGATTCCATCCATTGCTCCGGATGTGGAGCTGCTGAGGCTCAATGAGGTTCCTAACATCTGATCGGAGAAACGCTCAACTCGAGGAGATGTTAAACAAAAGCCAAAGTATTTTTATCCCTAATTACAGCGCCGTGGGCCCACTCTGAAGTGGGCTGCAGCAGGACGTGCAGATGCGCTGCTCTGCGCGCTGCTCCCGGCTCACTGCTTGCACCTGCAGCACGCTGATGCTGACGGGAAGCAGCGGGGTTGTGTGAGGTGAGGCTCCGACCCCTCTGCCTGTCACTGCTTTTTTTTGTTTTTTAGGCAGAGGGGGGAGATCTGGATGCAGCAGAGCTCCAGGATGGCAAAAGACTGGGCTTGGAAGTTATGAAATCCCGCACTGACAGGAGCGCCTGTCATTAAAAATTCATCTAAAATAGCCATTATGGAAGAGTTGTGGTAATTAGCTGAGAGAATAGTTTTCTCTCTCCTGGCCTCTGATTCCTGACAGTGAGGAAGGAGGGCACGGAGCAGCCCAGGATCTGCAGTGAGCTGCCCTGAGCTGCTGCTATCCATAGGCAGCAGGAGCAGTGCGAGCAGCAGGGCTGGGCAGGAGGATGTCACCCATGAGGGATCGGGACGTCTTTTAGGACTGTGGGCAGCATTGGTTCCCCCTGGTTTTGCACAGGAGCTGTGTGTGCATTCACCCCGTGCCCTGGGTCAGGCACCGCTGCCCTTTTTAGGCATTAAACTCATGGCGGTTTCCCCCCCGTAAAGCACAGATGTTTAATTTTAGGCTGGCAGATGTTTCACTCCTGGCTGAGGTCTGCAGCGAGGCAAGATAGGGGTATTTATAAAGCGGTAATATTTTTCCTATACTAATTCCAGATTACCTCCCTGTATAAATAGGTCACAAATCAAATCTCTGCATTCCAGCACGTTGTTATACATGTCCCGTTTGTGCAATGTAAACCAGCACAGGCAGGGCTGTGCCGCTCTGAGGGCTGGCTGTGCTGTGCCAGGGGATGCTGCGGAGGGGGGAGACCGTGGCCTGCAGGATGTAAGCTAATGGGGTAAAGCTGTTTGGAGAGGAATTCCTCAGGAGAGAAGGTGAAAATGATCCATGCGTTGGCACAGAGCAGATGGAGGTGATTTTGTAGCCGTGGGCTCGTGACTTGTGGCTTCCCATTGCAGCTCTGCGCCCGGGCGCTTTCCACTGCAGTGCTCTCTGCTGCATCCTCACAAGTTGCAGATGCAAAATGAAATCCGTGCCTGGCGTGCAGCTCTCTCTGCTTCCTCTGCAGTGCTTCCTGCTCCCCTGGCCGGGGTGGGCTCAGTCCAGGCAGAGCTGCCCCAAACAATGCCCGGCATTGTTCGCGTTGGAAGGAGCTGCTGCCCTCTGAAGATCCACATTAATTAGCAGCGAATACTGTCCTGTTCTTCCAAGCACAGTGGCCAAACAGAGTTGCTTTCTTTGAGAACATGGGAGCAAAGTGTCCCTTGTGCTCTGCATCTTTACATAACTGTTCTGTGCCGTGCCGGCCGTCTGCTGGGAGCAGTCCTGAGCATCCTAGGGCTTGTTGGTGGCACCGAGTTTGTGCTCGTGTTGGATCGAGGCTGATCCCAAAAATGAGTTGTGCCCATGTGTAAGGAGGAGTTGGTAGACAGCAAGACAGATGTGACCAAAGTGTATTAGTGGATTGCCCCAGATTTGTTTATCAATGGGAAATCAGTGTGTGAGCAGTGGTAGAAGGGTGTCTGTCCCACCTGCTGCAGGGGCTGGCTGCTGCATTGCTTGCACAAAGACCTGGCCAGGCACTGCTGCAGGGGGGCACGGCGCGTGCAGAGCATTGCTAAGGGGTGGCTGGGGTCTACAAAGCCCGTCGTGCACAGGTAGCACAGAGAGCACCGGCTCTGTGCCACAGCCCTGGCTGCCAGCTGCTGCTTCAGGGCTGTGGGAGCACGGAAAGCTGTGGGTGAATGTTGGCTTTGGCTGTGTTTGCACTGTGCTCGGCCAGCTGTGCGCTGCCCGTTATTTTTGGGGTGCAGCAGAATTGTGGCAGTCCCTTCTGTTCCTGCCTGCGCACTGAGCACAGCTCTGCTGTGATGGAGGAAGGTGCAAGCCTGGAAGCAGAAATGTGGTCCCAAAGTGCTGTTGCTGGGATGGTGCAGCGGGTCGGCCCCGTGCACTGCAGGGCTGCTTGGTGTGCTACTGCCCTCCGAATGGGTCTGCAGATGGGGCTGTTGTATGCAGAGAGGGGAAATGTGATTTCAGCAGGAGAAGCAGTTAGGGTACCGAAGGAGGTATTACGGAATTTGGGTGATCTGTTGCCTGTTTTGGAGCCCACCGTTGGGTTGCCAACCCACCCCATGGATGCCTGGGGAAGCTGTCTCCACATGCACGCCCCATTTGCAGGTGTGGGGAGCAGCCTGCCCACACCAGGGAGTCAACTGGAGGCAGGCGGAGCATCGCTGGGTGCAGGAGCCTTCCGTGGCACCAAGCCCCTCTGCGGGCTGCACTGCTGCCATCCAGGGTCTTGTGGAGAAGCTGCAATGCACCCTCCTGGTGACACCACACCTCCCCCGTGCACTGCATTAATCTATTTCCCTCTTAATTTTTAAGTTGCACAAGAAAAGCCGGAGCAGATCCCGCTGGAGAACCGCTCCTGTGTCCTCATCCGCCGGGATCTGGTTGCCCTCCCAGCCAGTCTCATCAGCCAGATCGGGTACCGCTGCCACCCCAAGCTCTACTCCGAGGGGGACCCTGGGGAGAAGCTGGAGCTCGTGGCAGGTAATGAGGGGCAGCACCTCTTGGCTTGGGAACTGCTGCAAACCTCTGCTGCTGTCCTGCCTGAAATGTGTTCTTCCTCTTGTGCCGCTGCAGGAGCCGTGCGTGCCCTTGCTTTGTCTTTCTGGATTATTCATCACCAATCATCTTTAAAAAAAAAAAAAAAAAAAAAAGTTCTGAGTTTCCTTTAATTTGCTGATAGAAAAATGTGTCATTAACAGGATTTATTCAATTGAATTAATTTAGCATTTTAATTGAATTCTGCAGCTTGTGTTCTTCCTGATTGGTGTGGGCTGCATGGCAGTTGTATTTGGATTTAGATGCACAGATCTTTTTTTTTTTTAGTATAAAAAAATAATAATAATTCATCAGACTAAAAGATTTACAAAGCAACGGAAGTGAAATTGGTGCCGGTGAGCAAGCTTTGAAAAACCCATCCAAAAATGGGGGGGTGTTTCAAGCTGCCTGGCTGGGAGGAGGAGAAGGGATGGGATTTGCTTGGACCTTTCCCCCGTCCTTATTTTCAGAGTGGTGGGAAACGTGCAGTCAGTGGGGACCTGGCTGCCCCCCAGTGCTGGGTTATGGCCCTGCTGGGTGCAGGACGGAGCCCTTGGGCTGCTGCCATGGGTCTGTATTGCAGAGACCAGTGCATGGCTGCAGTGCCCAGACCTGATTCCAGCCCCACGAGCCGTGGGCTGCTGCGCTTTCCTCCACGCTGCAGTGCCCCATGACACAGCATGAGCTGCTTCCCCCCACCAGCTCACTGCATTAGGTGAAGTGACCCGTGCAGTGCCCTGCTGAGGGACGTGGCAGTCCCACTCTGCGCTCCTTCATCTGTGCCTGATTGTCTCCGGGTCGGAGCAGGATTGTGGCTGTGCTCTGCAGAGGGGGCTGGTAGCACTGGGCAGATCTGTGCTGGCAGACAGGAGCTGTAGTTTACGTGGGATCAGGAATATTCATTTTGTGCCCATTTACATTTTGAGTGAGACTTCTTACAAGCACGAAGCGGTGCGGGTTATTTCCACGGTGCACGCTGCAGGCTGGGGGCACCTCAGCTTCATTTACATTTTTCCATCTGGAAAAAGAGATGAATGTCTGTACCCAGCAGCAGCTGCCTGGGCTGTTTTCCCTCTGCCAGACTGGAGCTGCCCATGGCAGCACTCAGCATTCCCTCTGCTGGTTCATCCCGTGCCATCGCACTGCAGCCCATTGATTGCTGCCCCGCATCCTTCAGCACGAGCCTCTGGGAACCCCCCCGAGCTTTTCCCTTTGTCTCAGGCTTTCCTGCCACCGTGGATTCTGCAAACTTCAGCAGCTCTGTCTGCACAGCCTTAAGCTGGCCTTGCGACAGTGGCAGTAAATCCGATGGGCGGACAGAGCGTGCGGAGCTGCTGTGACATCCAGAGCAGTGCTCACACATTTCCAACTGCTTTTGTGCATGAAATCTGGGCTCTGGGCACTGTCCCTCAAAGCTAGGAGGGATTCTGTTTCTCCAGTAGGTGTTTGTATATCTCGAGAGCAAAGGGTGTCCTTATTTCTGTGCTAGATGGGGATTTTGCTCTCATTTTACTGACGTTCTCCACTCTTTCGCTGGAGAAAAGAAAAAGCCAATCACTTTGGGCTTCTCTTCCTTCAGAGAGAACAAACAGTCCGGTTGTATATACAGTACCACGTGTTCTGTGTGTCTTTGCAGAGTGGAAAAATAAAATGCTCTTGTTTGGCTCCTGCAGACCATCCTGCACAGACCGCCCATTGCCGGGCTCTCGCCCTGCCCTGCAGCACAGCACAGCCCATCCTCACCCCCAGTTCTCCCTCTCTTCCAGGCTCAGGTGTTTACATCACGCGGGGGCAGCTGATGAATTGCCACTTATGTGCTGGTGTCAAACACAAAGTCCTCCTGAGGCGTCTCCTGGCCACGTTCTTTGATCGGTACGTCCTGCTCCCCGAGGGACCCCAAAGTATTTGCTGGAGTTGTGAGTGTGCTGGCAGATGATGTGTGAACGTGTCACCCCCTGGGTCTGCCACACGTCTGTGCCATTTCCCAGCAATGCCTGAACGATGTCCAATTCCTTGCCTTAAAACCTCCGATCTCAGTGCCCCTCCCTGCAGGCACTGAAGGCACTGGGTGCCCCAATGGGCCGTGGGTGCCCGGTGTGAAGGTGCTGCTTTGCCTCTCCTGCAGGAACACCCTTGCCAACAGCTGCGGAACCGGAATCCGCTCCTCCACGAGCGACCCCAGCAGGAAACCTCTGGACAGCAGAGTCCTGAACGCCGTGAAACGTAAGGAGAGGGGTTTGCTGCTGCTGGGGTGGAACTGCATGCCGAGGGCAAAGCCAGAACCTGAGCAGGGAAGGCCGTCTCTGTTATGCTACAGGGGGCGACGTTATGGCGAAATGAGGTGACAGGGAAGTTGATTTTGTAATGTCAGTTTTTTGGTCTGAATTTAATTTTTGGTTTGGCAGCATTTTAGTAGGAAGCATCGTCGCCACTTGACTGTTTCGCTGTGTTTTAAAACGTCTATTTCGCAGTTAATTATGGGGTGCTCTAAGAAGGAAATCAAAATGATGGCTTTTGGCAGCACTCAGTGCTGGATACTGCTGGACTGGGTCTGGCTGCCCTGGCTTTCGTGCCCTGGGCTGTCTGAGGCCAAGGCCTGGGGGATTGGGCTGCTGACCCCTCCGTAGGGAGCTGCCTTTGGCACCATGCAGCCCATCCCACCTGCTCTTGGTGTATGGTGGAGAGGAAGGGTTCTGTCACCCCGCTGGAGTCTGCATGGCATATTTACTGACTGTAAATGTCACCCTGAGCTCTGCTGAGAGGAACGGAGCGGCGAATGTTCAGAAGCACTGCAGGGTCTGCTGCCTGGGTGCGGAGCTCCCACAGCTCTGGCCAGGCCGGCAGTGCCCCAGCTGAGCTTTGCTGTTGTGTATCAGGGCATCCCAAAATCAGGATGATTTTTCAGGCGTTTCACAGGGAAATATCCAGTGCACGAGCTGTAGTTGGTCATTACTCATCACGGGTTTTGCTCTGTAACATCGGAGTTGTTGGTGGATCCATTGGTGGGTGCCTTCCCAGCTGGCGGCTGGGCCTGGTGGTTGGGAACCCACTGTCCCAGGGCTCGGTCCCTTTCCAGCCCCCTCCTCCAGCCCCCCATCTGCCCATCCCTCGGGCTGAGGAGCGCTGTTCTCAGTGTGGCAGGGAGCTCTGACCCCCATCCAAGCACTGGGCTGCAGTGAGCCCTGCACTGGGGCCTGGCGCTGCTGCCCGCCCTCCTCAGCGCCGTGTATCCCTGTCTTTGCAGTGTATTGTCAGAATTTTGCCCCGAGCTTTAAGGAAAGCGAGATGAATGTCATAGCAGCTGATATGTGCACCAACGCCCGCCGGGTCCGCAAGCGTTGGCTCCCGAAGATCAAATCCATGCTGCCCGAGGGGATGGAGATGTACCGCACCGTGATGGGCTCCACCACAAACAGCGTCCCTCTGGATCCCGAATTCCAGCCCAGCTCTGCTCAGGTCTTTGAGCAGCAAATCTATGCAGAAAGGAGGAGCGATTCAGGAACTATAGTAGCACTGAGAACTAACACAGTGAGCGTCGATCTGAGCAACGGATCCAGCCAGTCCTTCGAACAGAGCGAGGATGCCGAGGGCGCCGGCTCTGTCATACAGGAGGCGGCTGCCACGGATGCCATGGCATCGGATACCCAAAGCACTCCCCAACCTTTTGAGCAGGGCTCGGGCCCCTCCAGCCGGCCCGAAACTCCGGTGAGAAGACAGGATGGCACTTATGGAGGGACTTTATAGAGAGAGCAAACGTTTTGTGACCTATAAGGGATCTGTAATACTAAAGCTGCTTGCATGCATTACTAATACAAAACAAAAATGTGATCAAGCCACTTACCTACTGAACTGCTACTGTTGCCTGAAAAAAATGTGATTTTTATTCTGCTTGTATTTAAAATTTATGAAGGAAATAATCGCATTCGTTATACTGTAAACGATAGGTCTGTGGCGACCTACTTAAAAAAAGAGAAAACTATCGGGCTCCTTTTTTTGATATTCCTGAGGTTAGTCTATGCGATTGTAGCTTTTTTTTTCTTTTTTTTTTCCTTTTTTTTTCTTTTTTTTTCCTTTTTTTTTTTTTTAAATAAGGGG